TTTTCTTTAATGGCAAAACATAAATTGGGTGTGGGGAGACACACATGGGAAGTAAATATGCCCTGACTAAATATTATAGGAATTCTTCATCACTGAATTCTATGTATTACGAACATGTAACAATTATGGTAAGTACTATTAAGCACTGAAATATTTGCTGTTTGCTTAAAGAGTGCTACTATTTTAAAACTGCTCTCACTATGCAGATGTAGATCACAAAAAATGCTCTAATTGTATGAACAGAACTCTTTACCAAGAATAAGGGCAATAAAATTCTCTACAGCAAATTTATCATGCCAAAAATAAAAGGCACAGCAAATAACCACAACTAACATATGCTATATATTATCAAAAGATAGTTTCACTCTTCCTAGTATATGAGATAATTTATCTTTTTCAAACTTAATTGATAGTGTCTGCATTAGAACAAAGATGCAAACAAATTAATAATTTTCTTACCAAAGTGGAATCAAATATATGTAGAGAAAATATTTAGAAAAAATTGATCTTGGCTATAATATGCATATGTACATAGAAATAAATATGGAGGGTGCCAAAAATCATTTTAAGAAAGGAAAAAATTGTATTAAAATTGTAATACTCTCTATATACTGATAACAAAAGATTACAAGTCACATTTGACTTCTGCAATTACACACTGCCACTGTAATTCAATTCAATTTTTGAAAAGTAATACATAGATAATAGATAACATCTCTTAAAATGTGTATTCATTTTTTTGGCACCTCAGTATATGTACACTTACTTAAGTAATGTATAATGTATAATGACAAAAAGTAATATACACTTAGCAAAGATCAAAACTTTAAAAAATCCTGCTGGGCCCTTTTTTTTTTTTTTCCTTTTCTATCTTTAAGGCTTGACAAAGAATGCAGAAAAATTACCAAAGTAACAAAAAAGGACACAAAAACCACATTTCAAACAGCCAAACTTCTTGTCAGTATTAGGACCTGATTTGACAAACAGGTTTCTAATCCATTTCCTCAAAGGTCACGCCGTGAAGGGGAAGAACGAATATCTTCCACTACTGAATTAGGCTGGTTGCTGTCATTCTGGAAAACAGAGTTCTCCTCCGCGTGGGTTTCTTTATCTGACCTTCTAGCCTGAGAAAGTTCATTATTTGTCTCCTCCTCGATAGGTGATGGAGTTTCAGGCAATTCACTTGACATTAGAACTTGCAAAGATTCTGTTCCATCTTCAACATCCACCAGAATCCCCAAAGCCTTAAGAATGTCACATTTACATACGGGGCATGTCCCATGGGCTAAAATCCAGGGGTCAATGCAATGTTGGTGGAAAAAGTGTTTACAGGTCAGAATGCGAACTGTATCACTAGCCTTATAGTGTTCAAAGCAAACTACACAGCTTTCTCCACTTGGACTTACTTCTTCATCCCCCTCTTTTAAAATCCGAAGCTGGAGCCGTCCAAATGCTTTCTTGAGATCTATTGTCAATCGCTGCTGTCTTCTGTTCTGAATCCTTGATATCCAAAATCTTTGAATGTAATAGAAGATGAAATATGCTGAGACAGAGGTGGTGATAATCAAAAAAGAGAGAAAATAGTGATTCAACCAGATAATGTGTCTTCTCCCGACCTCAATCGTGGCTGTAACGTGAACTCCCTTCCGAATTAAGTGGAAAATTTCCATGCCTTTTAAGTTACCAATCATAACCACTACGACATCTTCAAATGCCTGGTGAGACATAGGGAACACATGATTGCCAGTTCCTGGGAAGTTATAGATGATCACTCCACTGGCTCCTTTTCCAGTGGCCACCTTAATTTTCTGTGTGAAGGTACAACCTCCCCGTTCAATAAGTGCGAGCCAGGTCTCCAAGTTCTTTGGTCGGTTGAAACTGGTATTGCGATAACACGCATTCTGGGTTTTTCCCGCTGGTGGTACTATAACTCCTGTCACTCTCTTTAAAGTGGAGCTTCTTCCAAATATTCCAGTCTCCCCAAGCTCTGACAGCATGCGATTTCCAACATGAAATGATATGTTCATGTAAGCTGTCCAAACAGCACTCGCTTTGCAATAGTTCTTACTAAAAAGCCAAAGAAAACTGAATTTTATAAGCCAGGAAGATACAGTGTTGTTTCTCCATGTGCCAATCTTGAGTAGATTCATCTTGCTCTTCGCATAGTGACTTAAGAACCAACCGAACATACACATGTGGTTTCCACATCTGTTGATACTCAATTTAAAATAATGAAGAAAAAAAACTCTTTTGGGTAAGAACAAAGTCCACTATCTTCCAGCATGTTTTTGTAAGAAATTCTTAAAGATGCCTTGTGAGTTTCAGATGTTTTATTAGAGAGAAAGAGAAAAACTTAAGATTGAAAAATAAATCCCAGCCTCACTACTGTTAATTCTAGATGCTGCTCACTGTTGTGTAATGTGATTATGACATACAAGAAGAAGCATCCAATTAGAAAAGAGCTTAGAACATGCTTTAAAGTTATTGGCTCAAATATTTCAAACGCTGTTATGGGCCATTTATGATGCTATAAGATGGATTCAATAACTGAGCTAAATATAATGGCAGCAGGTAGCACATTAAACTAAAAATTAAATCTAAAATTTATACAATGCATGCTTTAAAAGTTCGAAAGCATACACAAAAATGCTGTACAATTATCATTTCTCCTCACAAGTGAAGAAAATTTCCTTTGACCAAATGACAAGTAAAAAATAATTAAAAATTTAGCACTATGACCTAATGTGAAGTAAAAGTCGTGTGTTCAATAACACTACTTTTATGTCACATTTGGTCACAGTGCAGATTTTTGATTTATCATATAAGCCACTGTAGTACATTTATTTAATACAAGCTTGCTCAGAAGTTTATTGCCTTTGTTTTATGGTTTTGATTTTTAAAAGTAAGTTTTGATTCCTGCTCAATTTACTTCCACCTCATTTTTGATATCATGTCCCAAAGAGTTAAATAAACTAATGATTAACAGAAATTCTTGAGTTTGCAGTATGATAAATAAGAAAAGAAACAGCTTAATGAAAAGCCGAAGTTCTCTCCACTTAAATAACAAAATTGGCTGGAACTATTATGACCAACTGGAGTCAGCATAGAACAATCTTGCTAACATTAACCACCCCGATTTCCATGTTTCATACTAACTCTCTCTGATATGCACTTGCGATCCATGAGGTAGTATGGAGATAGAACTGTGCATTATTTTTCAGATCTCCCCTTTCCTTTTACCAATCACTGCTGACCCCAGAATCCACCCTCTAAACCTTTCCTAATAAAATGAATGTCTTAAAGCTAGCAGAGGGAGACAGATTTGAGCTGGACTCCTATTGCTTCTTAGTCAGCATGCAACACAAAGCTTTCCTTCTCTCAAAAACCTGGTGACATAGTATTAGCTTCTAACACATCAGAAAGCGAGGCCTTCTGCTAGGTAGCAGTTCCAACCCCCTTACACTGACAGTATATATGAATGACAGGGGTAAAGATAGAAAAGATTAATAGGTAGGAAAGCCCATGCCTCTGTAGACTCTGACTTCTATTACGAATCAAACTATTACGAGGAAGGAAGAGAAAGACAGTAGGAGAAAAAATTAAGTATAGCAGTATTAGTTTAGTACAATTCATTTTTAAAATGTAACTATTGATTTTATAAAATAAAAACTTCACGGTTCCCTCCAAAAGTCAACCATAGTCAGCAGCAACTGTTAAAGGTCATAAGTAGATGCTTTAAAAACAATTTTTGCTGAACTCAAGAAACATATCTGTTGGAGGATCCCATAGGGCCCTGGATGCTCTACCTACATTTTTGCTATACTCATATCTGTTGCACAACTTCAAAGCTAAAGAATAACGCATGAACTCACAAAGCTCATGTTACTGCTGATAGACTTTCATGGGGGTTTTCTCCAGTAGGACTTTTTTGCCAGCTAGAAAACCAAAGCCAAGAATTCAGACTTTGAACATAAATGCCTCTGGCCTTTATGTATAGGGCGCTAAGAGACACTTTTGGGAGGATCTTGCCAGGACTAAGGGAGCTGGTCCTTTCAGTAATTGTAAATCATCAACAGAGTAATTTGAGACAAGGAAGAGGAAGAAGTAGAGTCTGTTAGATTCAACAAAAACTAACATAAAAAGAAAAGAACCCTGAAATAAAATTTCAGCTGACAAAGGTTGGTTTTCTCTCCCAGCAGCCATTAATCTGATTTTGTTTCCACACAAAACAGCCTATTTTTTTTTAAGTGTAGTACATGGTATGTAGACTCACAAGTGCCACTGAATTGGACACCAAAGCTTTAGCATGTTATCTGGAAAGAGAGATTCTCATCAACACAACAAAACTCAAATCTTTCTGCCTTGCATTGTCACATAAGCATTTATTCATCTACTAGAAAAGAGGCAGATGTACAATAAGGCAAAGGATACAATATGGAAAGGAAATTGAACAAAATTTCAGCTCTGCTCTATGTTATCAAAATGCCCCAGAGAAACATTCATTACCATTTGGAGAAGAAAAGAGGAGAATTCACTAGGGACAATTTTAGAGGGGAAATGTGCTACCACAGCTGATTCTCATGCTAGGATTTAAAGAGCTCTGGCAAACAAAGGTGAATGTTTGCACTGCAGTTCTAAAGGAGGCTCATAATAATTTATAACACTTAGTTACATAAGCAAAATACTACCATCTAAAATAATTATTTAGAAAATGTTACAAATCCAGTCAGTAGCTTTGGAAACCAAATTTCCCAGGTATTAATAACATTAATTAACCATGAAGAATCTGAGATGTAAATTATTAGATAGCAAAATTAAACAAAATACAAACTTAGTATAAGAAAAGAAACTTTAAAATTAGCATAGCTAATTTTCTGTGGCAATATAGTAATTTGAAGATAAACATTAATATTGTTTTAACATATACTAATGTACTTATTTGGATAAAGGTAAAAATATATGAAAATTAAAACTGATTAGAAAGACAACAAGTTCAAATAGCTGGGCATGATATTAAGTTTTATTTTTAAACCATGAATTTCACCCTTATTAGTACTTCAGAAGTACTATAAGAAGTACAATAAGAATTCATCTAATCTTAATATTTGGAAAGATCTAGTTACATCTTCGGAGGATTCTCTTGGTTTCTTAAGTTTTCAGAATGTCACACTTGCACATGGGGCATGTCCTATGGGCTAACAACCAGGGGTCGATGCATGCCTTATGGAAAAAATGTTTGCAAGTTAAAATACGTACTACATCTTGAGGTTTGTATATGTCGAAGCAAACAACACAATTGTTTTCATTTGGGTCTAGTTCCTTATCACCTTCTTGGAGCACTCGCAGTTGAAGCTGACCAATAGCTTTCTTCACATCTGCTTTTATCCGCCTTCGCCTCCTGGTGGGATAATTGGGCACTCTAGGTCTCCATGCACAGTACAAGAAAAGGAAGGTAGTTGTGGCACCCAGGAAGGTAAACAGAGACATGACATAATGGCTCAACCATGGCATGTGTGTTCTCTCCACTTCGATGATAACTGTCACGTAGACTCCTTTCTGAATCAAATGCAAAATTTCCATGCCTTTCATGTTGCCTATCATCACAGCCACTGTATTTTCCGTTCCCCGGTGAGACATGGGAAATATTTTGTTGCCTGTGCCTGGATAGTTATAGATGATCACCCCATTTGCTCCCTTCTCTGCTGCCACTTTGATTTTACGTGTAAAAGTACAGCCTCCCCGTTCAATGAGGGCCAGCCAAGAGACTGCCTGTGCAGGCCTGCTGAAATTGGTCAAAGGATTACAAGCGTTTTGATTCCATCCTTTGGGAAGTACCACCACACCAGACACCCTTTCCAGAGGAGAATGATTCCCGAACACTCCACTCTCTCCTAATTCTGATATGATCTGATTTCCCACCTGAAATGTTATATTCAGGTGAGCTGTCCAAATGGCTCTTCCTTTTGAGTCGGGAAGGCTAAGTAGTAGAAGGATGCTAAGCCTCAAAAGTCGAGATGAAACAGGAGTATGAGTTGAAGGAGTAATTTTAAGTAGGCCCATTCCTCCATTTGCCTATGAACTGACAAATACGAAAAACAAAACAACATCAGTTGTAAAAGAAAGTAAAGAAGCTAGCTTCAATTGTTGGCAGTAGATTACTAAAGCTCATCAATAGAAAAGGTCCGCATGGATGAAAGATACCTTGTTCCTTCCAGCATGTTAATGTTTAGTAGATTATCTTTTTTATAATGAAACAAAATACCAAGGATTGCTGTTAGCACAATATGATTTCAAGAAAATTATGACTTCCTAATGGGGAAATTGTGACGTCAGAGGTAGTTAAGCCAATCAAAGAGTTTTTGTTAGTGTACTGCATACTGAAATCCTATTGGCCAAAAAGCTACTAAGTAGTGAGTCAAGTTATATCATAATCTGAATAAACTCTAAAGTGATGAATAATTAGGTAAGAATGTTTTAAAGCCTTGAGTTTCTTTCCTAGTTCTACAGAGATTGAAAATCTACCAAGCCACTTAACCTTATTTGTTTTTCTATCTATAAAGCAAAGATAAAAATTTTTCCTGCATTACTAGTGCATGTACCTGGCCAGTAGCCAGTTCTCACACATAATTCCATGCCACTCAATGTGCCCTTCTGTAGAAACAAATTATTACCACTCACTTCCACCATTAAATGCTACCCCAGGCCTAAAGAGTCCACATGAAGAAAACAGAGTATAAATCTATGTAGTTAGTCCCATCTTCAAGGCAAATTCAACTTTATTCACTGAAATAGCTGCTGAAACCCTACAATGCACGAGGCAAATACAAAGTATGGAGCATACACTGGAGAAGAAAACAGATATGATCTTACTATTGTGTGGACTAAGGATTTCGGATAACATCCCAAGGACAAGAGAAACACACTGTAGGGTCTAAGCCTGGGAATTGAGATAAATGAGCTTCAAAATGTCCACTTCTCTAAAAGTACACTTTGGCTACATTATGGGGAAATGAATTGGAGGAGGACAAGAATAACATGGTAAGATGAACATAGGGAGGGAGGGAGGGAGGGGGGAAGCAGGGAGAGAGAGAGAGAGAGAGAGAAGATAGATAGTGGCTTGTACTCTTGAAGTCGCAATAAGAATGTAGAGACATAGGTAAGCCTGAGAGTTAGTCTAAAGATTTAGTAACGTAAGAGTAGTAGTACGCAGAGAAAAGGATGCCCATTATAATCACAAATTGCTATATTATTTTTTGCAAACTACAGAACCTTTACTGCTCTGAAGATGCTTTAATGTTTGCTTTTATTTTAAATCTTTACCAGAGGTCTGTTTCAGGGAGTCAATAAATTGGCAACATCTATTCAAATGTTCACTGTCTACCACGTACAGGACAGCTCCTATATACTCAGCATGCCATAAACCCCCTAGGGATACAAAAAAGAAAAGACACTGTTTTCTGTGTGCAAAATGAACATGAAAATTTCAATCAGAGGTGTGTGTGTTGGAAAAGTTTTGGCCTTCTGACAAAAGCATTCATTTTACTCCCTGGCCCGTAATACTTTAGTTAATATTTACTTTAAACAAAAATAAAATGAGAACAATTCTACTTGCCCCATTCATACAACTTTATCCAGGCATGTTTCAATTCCCATGTGAACCATCTTTACAGGTTGATTTTTCTTATATTCAAATGGAGTGTGAATTACTGTTGGGTTCTATTAACAGTGACAAATTGAAGACTCACTAAGAAGACAGCTTAACATTATAATATTAGAATCTATTGGTTAAATTTGTGATTATTTAACCTTTGGGGGTGGGATTAAAAATAGTGTAATTATGACTTTGCTCTTTTATTTTGTTCATTTTTTAAGGGTAAAGATTTTAAGCAACAGCTATAATTTGGCACAAAATACATCTCTAATCAAAAGATTCTTTGTATGGCTAAAAGGACCAATTTGAAGAACTTACTAATTCATTGTATTTTTCTTGCTATAATATGAAGTAGTTAAGGCAATGACAGAACTTCCCTTGCTTCTGCCCCAGTCCCAGGACAAAATGGACCTATAAGAAATAATCTTTTACCTCTAACACAGTAGTTTTCAAGCAAGGGACCATTTTGCCTCCCATGGGACATTTGGCTATTTCTGGAAACTCTTTTGACTTTCAAAATTGGGGAGTGCTGGTTGGCAGAGGGCAGGGTTCCTGCTAAACATCTTAAAATGCACAAAGCAGCCCTACATAATAAGGAATTATCTGTTACAAAATGTCAACAATACGGTTAAGAAACCCTGGTCTAAATGAACAGCCTTGGGAGAAAGAAACCATCCCAAAACTCATTCACCCCTAGTGAATGATCGGGTCTGAGCTCTCCACAGGGAGTAAGCTTTCATAACGGGCAACACTGCCATCAAAGATGATGTCCTCAATGCAATTCCACTACCCAAATTCTCTCTGGAATAGAAACAGCAGATATCTGCACAACTGACCTATTAGCCCATGAAGTATGACTACAAATTGCATCTATTTTTATCATAACCAGATCTAAGAGTCTTTCTGGGGCCAAAGTGATCAAATGGGAGAGAAAGGGAGACAGAACGACTAAGGCTACTACAACAGGTTACTTTCAGATTATTTATTCAATAAATGAACCTAATTAACAGGCAAGTATTAAAGAGTATTTCATTTTATTGAACCTCAAAGGTAGGCTAAAGAGAAACATATCACTGGGGTAGGTTGAACCAGTAGTTCAAACCTACTCTGTATATCTTTCCATTCTACTTCTGTAAGTATGTTGACTTTCCTCTTATGTTGGGCTCCCTCATGATCCTCGAAGATGGCGGTTGTTCCAAGTGTCAACAGGCAGACAATACCCAGAAGCAGAAAGAGATGTTTTTCTCCAATATCTCTTAAGATATCATTTTCCCTGAAACTTATCAGACTTTCCTCAATGCCTCTTTGGTTGGAATTAGTTCACAAACCCATGCCTAATGGAAACCCTGGAAACCGAGGTGGGATCATCATGATCAGCTTAGGTTAAACATGATTTACCCTATTGTGGAGAACCCCTTCTCTGGATGTGCACACTGAAGATTTCAGTGTTTTGTCACTAAGGGAAAAAGGTATACACTGGAAGGTGAGTAGGTAAGCAAAACGACAGTTACAGGCTCTAAGTTCCTGAGACATACCCAAAGGAATAGTACTTTAAGAAACCATTAGCCACAAGAAACGTGTAATATGCACATTACACGCACTAACTTGAGCCAGAGTCTATGTTCAAGAGGATACACTATGGATCTGTCCTAAAAGAGGGCATTATCTAGGCAAGAGAAAAGAATTATAGGCAAATTAGGTACATGTAAGTTATATGTACATTATAAGTTCCAGGTTCCAACTAAAATTTTGAGAAGGGAAGGAACTCAACTGATCTCTACCCCTTTGCTATTCCTTGACCTCTACTGGTAAGAATGCTCACATTTCCAGAAATCTCTATGTGATAGTGAAGTACATTCACATGGCAATGTTCAGATAGCATCTCTCAAATGTAGAAAAGAGCCATCAGTAAATTATCCCGCAAGTCATAGTATCCAGGATTATGATGAGAGATCTCTCAGAATCCACAAAACATACTTATCTGAAGCTTAAAAATGACAACTGCATATGTTTTTGGCAAGTCATTTGACAATCATAATGGGATTTGGAGAGAGTAGCAAACTGAAAGCAACAAAAAGAGCAAATAATACTACTACATTTTTTTTTAAAGTGGAATATTTTTACAGCAATTTTTAATGCTTTCTGATATATAGGTATTATTTTGGCAAGCATTCTCTCTATAGATAATACTTCAGTGGTAAAAACAACTTCATAGTTTCAAGCTATGAAAGTATCATATAAAAGGCATTTCTGGATTGCAACTAATCTCTATATGTATTTTTAAATAAATTTTTGTGTATATTTACGGTATATAGCATGAGGCTATAAGAGACATATATATACATATATATAGTTACTCTAGTGAACAAATAAATATGTCCATCAGCTCACATAGTTACCCATTTTACTCCCTGTGGCAACTGCAGCTATAATCTACCTATTTAGCAAAAAATTCTAAATATACTGATATAGTTCCCTCTACAAAATTATCTACTCTATTAATCTCCTTGATGGTTGAAACTGAATCTTATCCTCATCTTTCTAATATCCAGCTTCCAGCACAGTACCTGGCACTTCATAGGTTCTCAATAAAGGTAGAATTAAACTGATAGTGTCATTATCCTCTGTATTCTAACCTGTAAAAGTCCCCATACAATAATGTATCTACTCAGTTTTTATCTTCAGATGGCTGTCCATTTCAGTAAGAATACAAAATAATTAGAATATACACAATTGATTTCAACCTTTAATTTTTCTATAGATTTAATACTCATAAAACTCGACTTATTTAGCCAAACCTTAATGTGAAAATAAATGAGTCTTTGCAAAATTACCAAATCTCTATAAATTATAATGGGCATAAGTCAAACAACAACATCAACTATATTCTCTTTTTTATTCTAAATTCAAGTCAAGATCTACATAATTTTAACTGTAAATTGAAAACAACTATTTTGTCCCCCACTTAATCCACCATGTTAGACCATACAATGATGATCAACAGAGTAGAAATCTACTATTACTACTCTGGGAGCTTTTGCACTAGGGGGCAGAAGGAGGAGCTGACTATCCTTAAGTATACATGATATTAAAGACAGGATTTAATACTATTGTTATCTTTCTGTGAGCCTGCAACAAAATATATCTTGATATTAACTCTGGATTTTTCCTTGAGGGGGTACAGAATAAGCAACATACTCAAAAGAGGAAGGGATATACCCAAGCAGCATTCTTTGAATTACCACCAGAGTTTGTCCTGTTCTCTTAATAGGCTATTCAGCTCCTCTGACTAATAAAATCCAAAAATGAAGACCAAATGGGTGTGGTTGCTGCTTCTGGGGCCTCACCATCTCAAAGCTGCCCTAAAACTTCAACATTGATTCTGGATCTTCCTAAACCACAATTAACCATTGAAGGTTTACATAAACTTCGCCTTCCTAAGACAAGGTCCCATGGAATGTGGTTAACTGGGTGAACTTGCAGCAGTCAGAAATATCAGGGCAGAGGTAATTAAAGAGATTTTCCTATTTAGACCTCTTGTGTTTTTCCAGTGCACAGGTCACAAACCCTTTCTCATCTGTTTTGTAATATAATCCCTCCTGAATACCTGCAGAGGAAAATTGAGTATGGAGTCATCACACT